GGCGGGTTGTCGTTAATGTCCGTCACCTCCACCTCCACGTGGAAAACCCGCAGCGGCCTCTCCACGATCACCTCCAGGTGGATGCTGCACTCCGCGCTGCGCCCGCACAGCTCCTCGCGGTCGATCCGAGAATTCACGAACAAAATGCCATTCTGCAGATTCACCTCCAGAAGGTCCCCGCGGCCCTTGGGCGCCACGCGGAACAGGCGCGGCACCAGCTCCGCCAGCTCCAGCCCCAGGTCCTGCGCGATGCGGCCCACGAAGGCGCCGTGCTTGGCCTCCTCGGGGACCGAGTAGCGGACCTGGCCGCTCCCCACCTTCCAAGTTGTGAGGAACAGAAGGGAGAGCAGCAGGCGCCGGGATTCCTGGCCTCGTCCCCAGGAAAACTCCATCTCATTAAGGGATCTTACTTGGAAATCAACGGATATCTTCTGAACGTTCAGCCCAGTGTCGCTGCGTCCTTCATTTTTCAGCATCTGGATAATGGATGCAGCTTCTTTACAGTAAGAAGGGATTTTTTTTCCTTCCTTTCTCCATCAGATCATTTCATGGTACAGAGCGACATCATGTGGCTCCAAACGGTAAGTAATCCATTCTGGAAATTCATACTCTAAGCTGCTAAATCTTATTTATTCTTGCAGCCATCCCTCATACTTTAATGGCCCTAGAGAACAGAACCGCATTTTGTACCACCACTGATTGAGTGTGAGCCTTAGTTTCACCACAGAGGCAGCCTTTACATCTGGGGAAATCCTTTTTTCACACAGGGGTTAAGTATATACAGAGACCCAATTGTAGTTACACACACTTTGTAAACATACAATTGAAAAGTGATGGTTAGGAGAACTCATGTGTTCCTGAAAATGCAGGAAGGTTGTAGTTAATGACGACGCACTCTTCATCTTTGGATTTCATATTCCAGATTTGAAGTCTGCAGAGAACTCATCTATAGGGAACCTCTGATTCCAAGCATAAGCCATGGAAAGGGAATTTTGAAAATGTTCAAAAAAGAAAGCAAAGGCCAGCATTTAATTGAAAGTCTTCCTTAAGTCATCTGAGGGCTGAATGTGCAAGGAAGTTTTAACAAAGAAGTATGGTGTTATGGTATATAATTTGTATTTTTAAAATTCTAAAGAATACTATTCACTGAAACCCACTCACTTCCCATGGTCAACAGTGGTGTTCTCATTTTTGTCTCATGGCTTATAAATACTTCCCATTCTCCAGTGTCTAATATGTCTAAACTTCATTTTCTCCTATATCGCTCAAATATTTTAATCAAAGTGGTTACTTTCCTGCTTCCAACAAAATTTTTCATTAAACAAACATCTCCTTTTGTCCCCTGCCTAAATGGTATCCATCATTTCCAATCTCTCAGCAAAGCAACTTGCCCTACTTTAGAATCATTTAAAACTTCCTTGACCAATGAAGACTTTCATGATTAAACCAATTGGGCAGGCATCTTTAGTTTCTTTTATATACTATAGCATCCAGATAGGATCACTTGGACCACTTAATACATTAATTTCTCTTTTGGTATGTATGTCTAATTTTGGTATGCCTGTCTAATCCATTTTGGTACGTATGTCTAAAGCTCTTTTTCAAACACAAACTTTTACCTTCACCATTTCTCACAGGTCTTCTTTTTCTGTATCTGAGTCATTCAGGGGACTCTCCACTTTAGGTACCTTTTGACCTTCTTAGACTATGGTATCCACAGCTTATCACTGGACTTTAAAAATAAATTAATTAAATAAATAGAAATAAAATTAAAAGAGGGGCCAGTCAGTGTCAAATACCTTGGATGAGAGGGGTGTATTATCATTCAGACTTTATATACAACACTCCTATTTAGATATTATTGCTGGGACAAAGTTACTATATTACCATATTTTGTTCTTTCTCACATGTTTTTTCCAAGTGCCCCAAGCATTTGCTCCTAACCAGTGAACAGCCAGACTGGGTCTTCCAGCCAGTCACAACCACCAGAAAGGCTCTCTCCCTAAGAGACATACTCCCTGAATTATACACAGTAGACATTCGTTCTGAAAGCATTCACCCGATACCACAAAACAGTAAGATAAGTAAACCGACTGTGTGACCTTGTTTGTTGAACTCTCCATGCTTAAAAAAACGAATTAAAATAAATAAATAAATAAATAAATAAATAAATAAATAAATAAATACTTTTAAAAGGAATAGTTATGTTTTATAGTCTAATAGCTCAGAAAACTTAAGTCGTATGTGCTGAACATGTACCTAATAGGACAATTTGGTTCTCTTCATTTGACTAATAAAATGCATTAAATTAAGGTGGTCACATAGCGAGTCAGGAAAATATGTCTCAGCAGCATCTATAATTTTCCAGAGATACAAAAATATTATCCTTAGACAATGCCCTAATTAATATACTAACTTCCATATTGAAAACCTGGAATTTAGCTTAATTTTCATTCCAGTTCTTGGTAGTCATGATCTTTGAAACATCCGAGTTTTAGTAGTCAATGAATAAGTCCCAATTAATACAGCACAATATAATTTGCTGACATAAAGAAACTTAATATAAAAGAATATGTTGGTAGCCATTTTTAGACTTTCTTTGTCTCTTATGTTCATAAACCTCTTTCTCCCATGGTTGTCTAGGACAAAAAAAAAAAAAAAAAAAAAATGCAGTGAAGATAGCTTTAATCTCTCATCTATGAAGAGCCACACTCACAAATTTTTTTCCTAATTAAAACATAAATTGGGGTAGTTTCACTGTTTGAGGACCCCAAACTGCAGATTTGTACAAAGATATCATAGGTGTCAAACACACTGGAAGAAAGTGAAAATAACTCTCTGTCCATTTATTTTGCAAAATAATTAAATACATAGATGGGAATGCAACAGACTAGAAAGGATATTTATTCAGAAACTGTTCAGTATTCAACTGGTATGGCAATACGTCTCTAAAGACAAAAACTCAATTATTTAAAATGTCTTATTAGCTGAGAATTTCTTAGTCAGTAATTTTGAAGAGGAGAGCTGGAGTTGAAGACTGAAGTCCCATATCCTGGGAGACAAGAACTTTTCATGACCCTGTTATTTATAATAGGATGGAAATTAGGCCTAATAAAATAGTGAGCTGAGGTTGGAAATGCTGTGACTAATACAGGCTAGACAGGGAGCAGCAAAGAATAGTGCCACAAAATAGAAATGAAAATGCTTTATATGTTAGCCACCTCCACAATGTCATCAAGTGTTAGCCAGGTTTCAGCAAGGAAGCTTGAACAAGGAAGTAGAAAGTTGTAGTATATAACTTGTGTCAAAATTATTTCATATAATTGTATATGCTGGAACTCATTCACCTCCTGTGAACAAGGGTGTATTCTCATTTTGTCTCTCTTTTTAAAAAAAAAATTTTTATTGATTTCAGAGAGAGGAAAGGAGAGGGAGAGAGAGAGAGAAACATCAATGACGAGAGAGTCATTGACTGGCTGCCTCCTGCACGCCCTCGACTGGGGATCGAGCCCACAACCCAGGCATGAGCCCTGACCAGGAATTGAACCTTGATCTCCTGGATCATAGGTCAATGCTCAACCTCTGAGCCTCGTCAGCCAGGCTCATTTTGTCTCTTTATGGTTTATAAATACTAGACTGTTCTCCAGTCTCTAATATACTCAAACTTTGGTTTCCAGTGGCAAGGAAACTTGAATGGGAGCCCAATCCTTTGCTAGGGGAAATGACCAAATATCAAATAAGGAAATGACTGAAAAATAACCTCACTTCAATTTTTTTGGTGCAAGTTATTTGGAGCTTTGCACTTGCTACATGACACACATTAATAGACAGGTTGGTATTCAGAGGAAGACCACCAGTAATGACATTGACTTACTGAACTTTTTGGCCATTAGCATCCTTAATACTGTATGCAAAAGATGTTAATGATTAATAAGTTTCCTAGTAGAATAGTTTAAAAATTATATGTATTACTTTCAACAAATTTTTCAGATGGAAAATTATTCTTAATCAGATTAATAATATTCTTTTAAAAATATTTTCTAAATGATGATATAAAGGGAGTGTTACAACTTCACTTTGATTTCTTAATGCTTACTATTAAAAGTAGTGAGAAAATAAAGATGGACAAAAATACAATTCTAAAAGCAATAAAATTATTCTATTAATTTTTTTTTTTTTTACCAAGTTGGGAAGCTAGTAACAATACACATATTGCCAAATGTGAGCACAAGGACTGAAACAAGTCATTAAAGTGGAGAGGAAGAACTGAGACTCCACATGAATGAATAAGTGAGCAACAGAAGCTCCATAAGAGATAATGGGTTTAATAAACTAATACTGAAACTGAAGATATAAGAGCATAATAAAAAGAGAGTGGTAAGCATTCAGGGTGGACTCATAAAATGGGCCAGTGACATTTAGACTAAAATCTAGTAGGAACTCTAATGAAAAGTGGTAAAAGCTATTGAAGCATTGTGCGGAGATTTGTACACCACATTTGGAGTCAAATATTCTAAATAATGCAATTCATCCAGAAAAATATATTTCTTTCCTATCCAGACTTTTAGTAATAAAATATAATCCTACTATTGCACCTACTAACAACAACAAAAACACACAAAAAAAACCCCCTCCAAATATGGTTCTCATTGCTTATTGCTGATTTGATTCAAAAATATTAGTCACAAGATTTTCAAACATTTCAACCACAAAACCGGGACTTGGAAAACTCTAATTACCAAAAACATACAGCAATTAATTGCAAAATGTTTCCAAAGGAGTAGAATCATTGAAGACTAAGAGACACATTATTGAGAGGATTTTTCAAATTACTCACTTTGGCAGAAACATCAACATCCACGTCCAGCTGCTCTTCTGTATCCTTACTAAACGGACCCGGAGGAAGGCTGGGGCTGAAGGCCATGAGGTCCGTCTTGGGCGCGCCCTCCCCAGAGCACACCCGCGGCCGCCTCTGCTGCGAGGCCGACCAGCTGCCCCCCGCGCCCGGGCACACCAGCCTGGGCTGCCCCGGCCCGCACGCGCCCCCGCTCGGCGCCGCCGAGCACCGCACGGCCGTGTACAGCAGCAGCGTGAGCACCAGCAGGCTGGACACCGCGCAGATGGCGACGATCAGGTACACGTTCACGTCCACCAGCGCCGCCTCCGAGCCCGCGGCGCCCGCAGACGCCGACACAGAGGCCTTGGGCGCCTGGCCGCCGTCCACCAGCGACAGCAGCAC